TAGATTCTTTTCTATGTGTTTGGCCTAAATGTATGTATGTGTGCCACATGCGTGTCTGGTGCCGGTGGAGGTCAGAAGAGGGCAGCAGATCCCCTGGAACCGAGTTACAGATGGTTGTGAACCACCATGTGGGTTCCAGGAAACAAAACTTGCGTCTCTGGAAGAGTAGCAAGTGCCCTTAAGCACTGTGCCATCTCTTCAGCCCTGTAAAATCAACTTTTCAAAAAGAACAAACTTCCCAGGCCCCATGTGGTGGAAAGAGAACCAAGGCCAGAAAGCTGTCCTTTATTTCAAGTGTGCACCCGCACACACGCGTCCTTTACCTGTAAGTGTGCACCCGCACATACATGTCCTTTACCTGTAAGTGTGCACCCACACATACACATGTCCTTTACCTCTAAGTGTGCACCTGCACACACACGTCCTTTCCCTGTAAGTGTGTACCCGCACACACGTCCTTTATTTCAAGTGTGCACCTGCACATACACGTCCTTTACCTGTAAGTGTGTACCCGCACATACACGTCCTTTACCTGTGAGTGTGCACTCGCACATAAACATCCTTTACCTCTAAGTGTGCACCCGCACACACACGTCCTTTACCTGTAAGTGTGTACCCCCCCACACACATGTCCTTTACCTCTAAGTGTGCACCTGCACATACACGTCCTTTACCTGTAAGTGTGCACTCGCACACACACGTCCTTTATTTCAAGTGTGCACCTGCACATACACGTCCTTTACCTGTAGGTATGCACCTGCACATCCATGTCCTTTACTTCTAAGTGTGCACCCGCACATACACATGTCCTTTACCGGTGAGTGTGCACCTGCACATACACGTCCTTTACTTCTAAATGTGCACCCACACATACACACATTCTTTACCTGTAAGTGTGCACCTGCACATACACATCCTTTACTACTAAGTGAGCACCCGCACATACATGTCCTTTACTTGTAAGTGTGCACCCGCACATACACATGTCCTTTACCTCTAAGTGTGCACCTGCACACACGTGTCCTTTACCTATAAGCGTGCACCCGCACACACGTCCTTTACCTGTAAGTGTGCACCTGCACATACACGTCCTTTACTTGTAAGTGTGCACTCGCACATACACGTCCTTTACCTCTAAGTGTGCACCCACACACACACGTCCTTGATTTCAAGTGTGCACCCGCACATACTCGTCCTTTACTTGTAAGTGTGCACCTGCACATACACGTCCTTTACTTGTAAGTGTGCACCCGCACATACGCGTCCTTTACTTCTAAGTGTGCACCCACACATACACGTCCTTTACTTGTAAGTGTGCACCCGCACATACACATGGCCTTTACCTGTGAGTGTTCACCTGCACATACACGTCCTTTACTTGTAAGTGTGCACCCGCACATACACGTCCTTTACCTGTGAGTGTGCACCCACACATACACGTCCTTTACTTCTAAGTGAGCACCCGCACATACACGTCCTTTACCTGTAAGTGTGCACCCACACATACACGTCCTTTACTTCTAAGTGTGCACGCACACATACACATGGCCTTTACCTGTAGGTGTGCACCCGCACATACACGTCTTTTACTTCTAAGTGTGCACCCACCCACACACACACACGTTCTTTACTTCTAAGTGTGCACCCGCACACACACGTCCTTTACTTCTAAGTGTGCACCCGCACATACACGTCCTTTACTTCTAAGTGTGCACCCGCACATACACATGTCCTTTACCTGTAGGTGTGCACCCGCACATACACGTCTTTTACTTCTAAGTGTGCACCCACACATACACATGTCCTTTAACTGTAGGTGTGCACCCGCACACACGTCCTTTACTTGTAAGTGTGCACCCGCACATACATGTCCTTTACTTGTAAGTGTGCACCCACACATACATATGTCCTTTACTTGTAAGTGTGCACCTGCACATACACATCCTTTACTTGTGTGCACCTGCACATACACGTTCTTTACTTGTAAGTGTGCACCCGCACATACACGTCTTTTACTTGTGTGCACCCGCACACACATGTCCTTTACCTGTAAGTGTGCACCCGCACATACACGTCCTTGTAAGTGTGCACCCGCACATACACGTCCTTTACTTCTAAGTGTGCACCCACACATACACGTCCTTTACTTCTAAGTGTGCACCCGCACATACACGTCTTTTACCATAAGTGTGTACCCGCACATACACATCCTTTACTTCTAAGTGTGCACCTGCACATACACATCCTTTGTTTCTAAGTGTGCACCTGCACATACACAGCATGACAAATGTTTTCAAAGGGTAAACCGTTTTAAAACCTTCAATAAGTGTGCTATGGTAGTGCACACCTGTACTCTCAGCTCCCAGGAAGCTGAAACAGGGGGATTGCCGTGGCTCAACTAGGTACAGCTGTATAGAATACCCAAGGCAAGACTGGGCTGGCTACGCAGTGAGGCCAGACCCCATCTCAAAATAAAATAAGAACTTTAATATATGAAACTCACTCCACTGGATTTTAATATAGATCATTTAGAGGGAAAGGAGGCATCCCAAAATGAGTAATATTGTCACTCAAGTTTGGCTTTATTGCTCTATGCCTTTAACAGTGATCATTTATTTCTTCTTGAGTCTCACTATTTTCCCACGCTGGCCCTCACCTTTTGGGTTCAAGATGTCTTCCTGCCTCAGCCTTCAGAGCCAGCAGGACTGTAGATGTGATACCATGTCCAATTAAAAATTTAAAAGAAAATGCCCATGTGTGTGAGTATGTAGATGTGAGTACTGGTGCCCTCGGAGGCCAGAAGCATGCATCAGACTCCCTGGATCTGCAGTTAGACTACTGTGAGCGCCGTGTGGACACTGGGAACCCAGCCTGGGTCCTCTGGAAGAGAGGCCAGCCGCTGCTCTCAGCCATCGATCACTTCTCCAACACCCCTCCCCATCTTTTAAAGATGTGCATTTGGGGCTGGAGAGATGCAGGAAGTTAAAGGGCCCCAGTGCCCATGTCTGGCAGCTCACAGCTGCCTGTCACTCCAGGTCAGGTCCATCCGGAGGATCTGCTGTCCCCTTCTGGCCTCTGTAGACAGGGCACACACAGAGACATATACTCATACAGATAAATAATAATTTTAACACATCTTTAACATGTCCGCATCTCTTTCATCAGATTGAGACTTCAACCGATGTTGAATGAGTATCAATACTGTGGACAAGCTATGAGCCCTTAAGGAAGGAATTCTGCCTTGGAGCTGTGCTTTCACAGTACTTATACCGACATTAGCATTTTCCAAGTCAGCCTTCAAATAGAACTCAACACCAGTAACTCCCCAGGGAGCAGCTACTGTGCTTTCTGGCCCTCTGGCAAGGATCACTGTTGGAATACAGAGCCCTACAGTTTAAGTCAAGCTAATAAAAAAAATTTTTTTAAGATTTATTTTTGTATAGTGTTCTATCTGCATGCATGCCTGCACACCAGAAGAGGGCACCAGATCTCATTATAGATGGTTGTGAGCCACCATGTGGTTGCTGGGAATTGAACTCGGACCTCTGGAAGAACAGGCAGTGCTCTTAACCTCTGAGCCATCTCTCCAGCCCCAATAAATCTTATTAGATTTTCTTGGTTCACTTCCTCTAGTAAACCTAACACATTTTTCTATCTACATCTTACTGACTTTGTCAGGTAACTAGGGTTGAGAGCTCACTTAGGACGCCTTCTTTTATGCATTTACATAGAACTCAGTAGGCTACCTGGCTGGTGGCAAAGTTGTGGACTTAAAACCAAAGTGCAAGGATTAGACACAATAGTGGGGCACATGTGATCCTCAGCACCACAAAACATAGGTCAATAAATGAAAGCAAAGTGAAAACCATTTTCAGGCCATGAAATTACCCCATAAAGACACATTTAAATAAAAACAAACAAAGCATTTTATTACTTACTATTATTTTTTTCTTTAAAAAAAGCTTATTATTCAAGACTAGCCTGGTCTACAGAGTGAATTCCAGGACAGCCAGAGGTACACAAAGAAACCCTGTCTCAGAAAACAAAACAAAAAGCTCATTATTTATGTGTATGTGTGTGTGTATGCATATGAGTACGGGTGTCCTCAGAGTCCAGGGGAGGGTGCTAGATCCCCTGGAACTGCAGTTACAGGCAGTTGTGAGCTGCCAGACATGGGCACTGGGAACCAAACTCTGGTCCTCTGAGAGACTAGGAAGCATTTAACTGCTGAGTCAGCTAAATACCTTTTATTTATTTTTTTTATGACTAATGAAAAGTAAATGTGATTACAGAACCTTAATTTTAAATTAGTAGTGTAACTTAAACTCTACGAGGTTTACTTTATAAAACAGAAAACCCTCTAACAGGGAAATAATGGCATTTATTTAACTTTCCCAAATTCAAAGACAACCAATGATTACCTAACAAACACAGGGGAAAAAAAGTGGATTATCATTGTTGCTCTTAGTTGGAAAATCCACAACAGTATTTTTTTTTCTAGTACATGGCCTGCTGACTGACATCAGAAACAGGGTACTAAAACCCTAACAATGGTGACCACTGCTGGGGCTTATGTGTATGGAAAAGGATCTGGCCAATGATGTGCTGAGTGTTCCAGCTTTCTAGGCAGCCAGGTTTACTCTGGGCCAATCACATGTGAATGAATTCAATGCTAAGAAGCCGCTTTCCCCTCATGATATAGGAGTCCTACTGTATAAAGCACCTTACAGTGGTGATGGCCGATGTGCTCTCCGTCCACACACCTGGCAGTGCGTGACCCCTCCTCACCCTGAGAACCCCAGGGGCATGCTTGGCACATGAAGCTTCACTGCCTTCTGATCTCAATTCAAAGACTAGGCATTCTGCCAGGGACACAAAAAGATTTGCAAGAGAGTCCAGGAGTCACCAAGGTGACTGCCAATCCTGTGTGCCCTCTTCTCAGGTAGGTAGCAGTCAGAGGTACGACAGCTGGTCCAGTGCTGACTTCTGGACTTTCTGGCTTCTCAGTAGCAATACATCCCAACAAATTACATCTTCAGTTTGTGTTAACATAACTCTCAGATTCACTGAATGTTCCCAAGTAATATCCTGGCCTCTAGTCTGGCTCTGGAATACTCTGATTCTTTTGTTTTTCTGCATATTCTTCTAGTCGAAGAAGCCACTTGGCCCAATACTTGGAACAGAGCTCTTCATCCATGAAGTGAGGGTGGGCAGGGGACCCGTCTTTATAGGCTACCACAATTAAGCCACACTGAACCTAGAAAGAAACACAGCACAGCTTCAGTATTTCCTCTTGTTCCAGGGCAAACTATCCAGTGCTAAGCAATAGTATCTCCACATCAGTTTCTAATATGGGCTAGTTAAAGATTTCACCAGGACACAGAGAACACAAAGATGGCAGATAAGACACTGAAGAATGGGGGTGGCGAACAGTCGAGGAAGGGAAGGAGTGCTCTACAGGTGAGTGGAGTAGACCCCCAAACACACACACACAAAGCTCACCAAGCAGGAGCTCAAGGTTCTGACCTGAAAACTGTAGTGGGAATCGTGGTTTACAGCACCCATATATGCCACAACTTGTAGTGGATTGTCGTACGTATTTCGAATAAAAGGTTTTGGTTTTTCTGATGTCTTCCAATCGATCACACACAGCTTGCCTCTAAGGAGAATCCAGAGGAAGTCTTTGTAAGTAACAATTCAAATTGAAAACGGCGCCTTGCTGCCAAGTCTGACAACCCAAGTTCAATGCCTGGGAGAGCATGGTAGGAGAGCAAACTCCCAAGGTTGTTCTCAGATCTCCACATGCACACCATGGTGTGGGAGTGCACATGTGTATACACACACACACACACACACACACACACACACACACACACACACACACGCACACACACACACGACAAATTAAATAAACAAATAAATAAAAATAAGTAAATAAAATGTAATTTAAAAATCCCCTGAAGCTGGGGGTAATGGTGCACACCTTTAATCCTAGCACTCAGGAGGCAGAAGCAGGTGGATCTCTGTGAGTTCGAGGCCATCTTGTTCTAAATAGTGAGTTCCAGGACAAGCAAGAGTTATATAATGAGAACCTTGCCTCAAAAAACTATGTAATCAGAGGTTCAAATGCCACACACACAGATTCTACACTCTTTCCCCCACATCCTGTTATTGCTCACATGCTTTATTTGGAATGGGGTATCTGTAGAAGATAGCCACCCTTGGAATCTGGAATGACTGGGGGAAATCAGTAACAGCAGCAACTTAGAAACTGTAGCCGGTTCAGAATCCTTATCATATCAGCCACTGCCTGGGAGCCAGGAAGAGTACATGTTCAGGGCCACAGATCACTGTCCAATCTTCGGGAAAACAGGAAAAAAAGGTGGGGAGGGGTAGGAAACCAAAAGAAAACAACACTGATTAAAAGGGAAGCCAGAAAAGAGCATGCAGGAACCAATCGGGTCTTGCAGCTGGCATCTTTCTTGAGGAGAAGGGAGAGGGGACAGGCGGGAAGATAGGCCAGGCTGGGGCTACTGAAAACACACCTTTCCCTCACCACTTTGATTTTCACACGGCACAGAGCATGCGGCTTTCCCTGCTGCATCCCTCCCAGCTCCTGCCCTGTTCTCACTTCTTTTTTACTTTAAAAAGGTGGAGGCCACAATTCCTCAGGCACATCTTCCAGTGGACATCACTACACTGCCCACTGAAGGAGACACTCTTGTACTTACTGGTACTCAGCCACACAGTCCAGCAGCCCTGCATACTTCAAGGCCTCGTGCTTGACAGCACTCTCCAGAGCTTGCACACCACTGATTTCGTTCAAAATATGCTGGACACTTTTGATATAGCCACACTGGAGGTGCTCTTCTCTCCCTTTTAGGTTCTCCTGGGGTGAAAGTATGCTTTCCAAGGCTTCATGGAACTGTTTGCCTTGTAAAAAGATATCTAAAAAGAAAGTCAAGGAAAAATAGAAACTGAACCAACCAAAACCAAACCAAAGCAAGATTAAAATATATACATATAATAAATATATATATTATACACAAGTTATCTTTAAATGGCAACCCCTTAGACACAAAATTCATCGTCTTTGGTTTTTGTAGGCAGGGTCTTGTTTGTACTATAGGCTAGCCTTCAACGTGCGATCCTTACTTAAGCATCATGCATTGGTATATATAACTATGACCGGCAAAATTCAGTTTCCTGTGAAATCCAAGAATGCACTCTCCCTCCTCCCTCCCCTCCTCAAGACAGGGTCTCACTATATAGCTCTGGCTGTCCTGGAACTCACTCTGTAGACCAGGCTAGCCTTGAACTCACAGAGAAAGTGCTGGAATTAAAGGAATGTGCTACTATGTCTGGCTTATCTTTACCTTTAAAATTTTTTTTTTTGAAAGAGTTTAAAAGAAAAACCACAGGGCAGGCAAGCTGTAAATTTCTTTCTTCCCTTTTTTAATGTGTAAGAATGTTTTGCCTTAATATCTGTGTACCACATATGTGTGCCTGTTGCCCATGGAGGCCAGAAAAGGGCACTGGAACTCCTGGGATTGGAGTTACAGGTGGTTGTGAGCCATCACATGGGTGTTGAGAATCCAACCTGGGTCCCCTGGAAGAGCAAGTCCTCTAAAACACTAAGCATCTCTCCAGTACCCAAGCTGTAAATCTTGGCTACTGCCCAGAGGAGGGAGGGAGAGGAAGAGGAAGAGGGACAGCCATTCCTTTCTGAGATAGCCAGGGAGGTTTGGCAAGCAGCCATGTGGAAAGAGTGAAATAGCCAAAAGTACCAGAAAAAAAGCATACATAGTCTCTGGTCAGTGTCCAACACACAACACACACACACACACACATACACACACACACACACACACACACACACACACACACACACACAC